AAAGTTCAGTCTTCCAGAATCTCCAATTGGTCCACGGTTTTCCGGTTTCTCGGTCTCACGATCCCACAGGTATGCCTCGACGACGCCGGTTGTCCAGCCTGACTGGCTCGGTTGCTATCTCGAGGCTGTCTCAAGGCAGTGCCTTTGGTCGGTTTTCCAAGAGTTCGTCCCAGGGTCAAGGGCGGATGGGGTAGTGATAGCAGCCGGGATATATACTGTGTAATGCAATGTTATTTTGTATTGTGTTACAGTAATGCAATGAATAATGCAGAGTTGTAGAATTGCAGTATCGCTTGCGGTGCAGGGAACACAGTCAGGGATATCTGTCGGCGGGGATGATCCGAATTCCCCCCCCCCCGGCTGACAACGTCCCATCACCTCTAACGATTGCATCTCTGGTTCCCTAGGTATGTCAAAGAATAGCCCAACCCCCCAAATACTTACCTAGGTAGGTATGTATATAGACTACCCAGACTACCTACCTAGGTAGGTACTTACTACCTAGGTACCTTGGTGGAAAGAACATGGAGAGAGCGAGAGCTGTCCCTCCAGGAATAGTTTCAACCCTAACCCTTAACCCTGAGCATAATGTAGCGCAAGAAATGACATTGATAGACCGTCTCGATGCAGCACATCGATCCTGGACGGCCATATGATAAGTATATCAAGTATATCCTGATGAGTGAGCAATCAGTTGTCGGTGCTTATGCCTCATCATCACCTTTTTCTCATTCCGTGGCGATGCATCGAATGTAAAGACAAGTTGATATTATAGCGGCAGGGCCAGGGATGTCGAGAGGGCTGAGGTTGGGGGGGGGGGTGTAACCCTATAGCAACTCCAACCAACCCCCTTGATCCGGACGGACTACACACACATATGCATGCATGCATACGTAGCCTAGGTTCGACGACGAGGAACCAAAAGCCGTTATATAATCATGTATCACCATTCACACAGGAATGAGATCAACACCTGCACACATTCGATATTGACCCCTACGAGCTCCTCGAACAAGCCAATGGGGGACAAGTTGGGAGTTGAAACAAACATCTTGACCCCGCCGGTTTCATCGAGCCGCCCATGCAACTTGGGCGCCTCTTTTCTCCTCCTCCACCTCCTCCTCCTCCTGCTCCTTGTCACCTGAACAGGCGGATTGTCCCCTGATCTGCTCCCGTATCCTGGCCTGCATGCCTCAAGGTTGTCGCAGGACAGGGGACACGAGGGAATCGTTGCTTGATGATACGGCATCGTGGACGGGATACTATGTAGTAGCATTGTGCCATACTGCTTGCAATGGTACCTATGCGTCTCTCTCTCTCTCTCTCTCTCTCTCCCCCTCTCTTTTTCTCTTCTCCTTACTACTTCTCTGCTGTCTTATCATAACCGTCATCATAATAGTCACCAGCTCTTATCATAGAGTAGAGCAACTCCAAAGACGTACCGGATCATAACCTTGGACTTGGTCTCTTCACTGGCTCCAGCTCCCACGCCTGTTGTCTTTTCTCCTTCCTTCCCTCGGCTCTGACTGTCATGCAGCCCTGTCGCGGATGCTCCTCGACGGTTTGAGCTGAACTCTCTGGATTCGCTCTCTTCTCAAACATTCTGACCCTCGTCTTGCATTGTCTTGCATGATCGCTTTGCCTCACTTCTGCAAGATAACTCCTGTCGACATCCCCATCGCCAGCCGTGGACCTGTGAGAGGCTTTGCCTGTTCAGCCATCGCGTGTGCCTGTTTGGTATTCGAAAGACAACATCTCCGAATAGCCCGCCGCTTCGTCTGAATGATATTGAAGCAACCTTAACGGCCCAAGTGGCCGTCTCATACATTTCTTTCGTCTTTTCTAGACCTGGTGGTTTCTTCCAGACTATCGTAGAGGGGAGATTAGGTCTTTAACTTCGCGCGGGAACCGCGACTGGAATCGCCCTCACGAAGTACTTAATCATGTCGACGAGTCCCAAGTTGCCCGTGGGGGCTTTCATAACGACGCTTGGTGGGAAGAGGTGTACGGCAGTGCCGAGAACTGATGTCTCCAGCACGCAGGTTGCCACAAGTACGAGCACGTCCGCCTCTTCCTCTTCGTCAAGCGCGTCTACTTCCTCGTCTTCCTTCTCTAATTCATCCTACCCCTCTTATTCTTCTCTGGCATCAGCACCGTCGTCATCAACATTCACATCCACCTCTATCTCAGAGGCGCAAGTGCTCGAACCGCCCCAGGTGCAGACGACGACGACTGCCCCGGCAACAGTCGCACCCCCAGCCGAGGCGACGACATCTTCGTCCTCCTCGGCCATACAGTTCTCTGCCATCAGCACCGCCACAGACACAACAGCATCGATAGCAGTCACTTCAAAATCGCAAGCCAGTGTTGCTGACACCAGCATCGCAGCCGCGTCGACGCCCGCGTCGACCACAATAACGACCGCCCCGATAACCACCTCACCAGCATCGCCAACCGTGGTGACCATCTCATCTCAAAGCGATGTTTTTATGTCGTCAAGTACGACAGGTCTGGTGGGGATATCTACAACGCCAAGAGTTGGTTCAGGGACTGCGTCGTCTGACTTGCAGGCGCCTAACCCTACAGGGACAAATATCTCTGGAGCGACTGCTGTATCATCTGTCTCTGCGAAAGGCGGTAGAGGTAAGCATGGGTCCGGCTCAACCATTGCTATCGCAGGTGGGGTAATTGGCGGCTTGGCCGTTGCTGGTCTGCTTGCCTTCTTGGTATGGTTCTGGAGGAGAAGAACACAAAAGAGACGGAGCACGCTCCTTACGCCACTCTCGGTAGATCCGTCGTTCAGGGGGGAGAAGGGGGAAACAGAACGTGGGGACGGCTTGCGTCCTACACCCAATTCGCCCAATTTCAAGGCTTCCGTGCGGGCACAGTACGACCGGGTTCGCGGCAGGAAGGCCTCATCCGCTCCGCCTACATATGAATACAGTGTCATGACTACGATGGAGCGCATCAGGAAGATCTGGGCTGGCTTGAGGGGATCTCAGAGGCGTGGGCCCAGATTGAACGAGAACAGGAAGGATATGTTTGCCGCTCGTGCCATCCGGGAGGGCATGAAGGAGGAGGCAAAGCCCAGGTCCAGGCCACTGCCCGCCAACAAGCCTGACTCCCTCATCAAAGTTGAAATATCGGACAGTGAGGCCCAACGACGCCGACTCAGCCGAATCCGCGGTGGCAGCCTAGGCACTGCCCTCAGCGGATTGGCTTTGAGCTCCGGCGACGACCCTTTCAGCGATGTTAACGCCGCGAGGTACACCCGTGCCAACCCGCCAACACATTTTGCCACGGGAGCTGATAATCCTTTCTCCGACGCAAATGTCATCGGGGGGCGAGGTTATATCCCCAAGGCTTCGGCCTACGTTTCCGACGTCCGTCACTCAAGAGGCCTGTCCGTAGACTCTACTGTCGCTCTGAGCCGTGCCATGCGTGTGAGGGCTGTTACGTCTCGGCCGCCTAGCAATTCGACAGCCGCCTACGCCGAATCCTCGCTCTATCTGCGCGATAGTGCCTCAAGCTTCGACACCAGACGTAATAGGTTTCGGTCCGACCCGTTCGATCTCGAGCCCCTATCACGGGGCCATAATATGTACGGCCTTACTGCCGCGGTATCGAGTGACTTGTCGACCGTCAGCCGCAGTGGGATCCGTCGTATTCCCAGCAACAATTCGCAACGGTACCAACAAAGCATAGGCCCCATCGACAGCGACTTGTTTGCTGCGGAAGGTGACATTATTCGGAGGCCGATAGCTGCTGCACGCGCGACTTACGACAGCCTGGGCAGCTCGAGATACACCAGCGGCGTGAGCCAGGGCACCGTGGACAACTGGCCAGAGCCTGGGCCTGATATTGGTCCTACAGCGTTGTGGTCGGGTGCAGGCCGATCCAGCTCGGCTACAGGCTCCTAACGAACAGACGGACCCGTTGAAAGCAGTGCTGGGCAGGGCGATCCGAGAGAAATTATCGAGTACGCTTTACAATACATTATTGGAATCACCTTATATTTGAAATCCCCTCCAAACTTTACGGGGCAGAACAATATGGCAACCCAGCATGCATGTGCAAAGCACCACTCATAGGTTGGATGGCTGAGAAAAGGAGTAGTTGTGCTTGGCACTCGTTGCGCTGTTCCACCGCGTCCTTCACGAATATGAGGATAACGGAGAGGACTCAAGATCTTACCTCCCTAGCATACATTTGAATGGGCTACCGCACATGTAGCTCTAGTCATTTCTGATGAGATAATGAGTTGAGAATATGTACGTACATACACACTTTTACGTAGGAGAAGACACTCTGTCTCTGCCTTGCGAAGGTTGTAGATGAGATATCATTCGGAAGTGAGGACGGCACATTTCACGTGCTGTACCGAGGCGAGCAAACTGTGATAATAATGGTCGAGCTCGGTTATCCTGCTTATGGCATGAGATGCCGGACGAGGGTAACGCTCTGTTCTCTCTCATACTAGACTATGTCTGAACGGTCCATAAGCTCCCAGGGGCTAGTTATGATCAACCTCGCGCCTTCACACAGATTTACGTTGTCTGCTTTGCTCCCATCCTCATGGACCCCCAAATACTCCTCTTGAAGGCAGTACTGTCAAAAGGGTGGGCTTGTCATCATCCTCTTGCTTCGTGACGACTTGCTGCAGGAGCAGGTATTGTTTGGACCCATCTGTGATTGATCCAGATGTATTCGGACTATACTCCATTGTGTGTTTCCTGCAGCCTGGTGGTCACTGTCGGCATGCTCTGGTTGAGCAGCTTTTCTGACCGCTACGTACATTGGGTGGCCATTACATATTGTGTTCAGCGATGACCACGAAACCATAGACACAGTAGGATAGGCGTCACGGTGTGTCGAGAAGCTGCCAGGAAAACGAAATTCGAGCAAACGCTCCACTAAAGAAAGCAATCAATGGCAGAAAAGGCGCCGCTTTTACTGCGTCCGTCACAAAGAAGCAAAAATCAAAAAGAGAGATATCCGATCTCCGATACGGGGAATCGAACCCCGGGCGCCGCGGTGAAAACGCGGAATGTTGGCCACTACACCATATCGGATATTGTTGTTCGGTGTAAGATTCAAAACCTTATATAGCAACATCGTATATCCACAGCCGGTGTAACTACACATAGATCGGCTCCAGGGGCCCGAAGAGTATCGAGGAATTGGTTTCGCCATAACTGCACTAATGAATCGCTCTTCGAGGCAACATAAGTGCCAGTACATTACTATCGCTATCGACTTTCTAATTGCTGCAAGCAGTTGGTTCACGTCGGATTTACACCATTACATCGTGTCCCCGCGAAGCCGGCACCGGCAGATTGAGGAAGCTTTTCTCGTCTGGCAATGTGTAACTGTACACAACTGCGAGTGGTGCGCATCACTCAATTATTCGTCCTCTTGGCCCAGTGGGATCAACCGGTGCTTAACGTGGATCAAAGGTTACCCGACCTGGGGCTATCATAAAATTTGTGAGGCGATGTGACTAGCCAGGGGCACCTGGGGCGATCGGTGACGACAGCATTGATGGGATATAGGGGCAGACATGTAGAACAGACTGGTCGAGATAAGCCGACGGAGGGAGCGTTGGAGGACGCGTTGGCCTAATGCCGGTGGGGGAAGCCTTTCAGCGGCGACATACGCAAATTGGAGGGGGGGGGGTGGGCTTGTAATTGGCGAGATTGAATACAAGCAGTCGCTGTTCTGTGTGCGACTTTGTCGCGTGAGGCCCAATGCGAAGCCTTACCGGCAGTGAACTTATACGATCTCTGACTTGTCCCATTATCGATATCTGGATCCTGCCAGGTGGTCGCTCGTACGTAGGTGCAGATAGCTACATAGTAACTAGGTAGGTATCTTCCGTCTCTCGCCTCTTACTGGGCTTGGCCGGATGCAATGGCATCATAAACAATGCTACTGGTATGGACTGAGCAGAGCGACGGGAAGCTACTATGACAACGACAACAACAGTATCAATTGGCACCTGTCTTCGAGCTGGTGTTGAGGTTATCCTTCGGTCTACTGGTCTTCTCGCACGGTAACTGTCCGCCATCTTCAAGTACTCTGTTTGCAAGGGTCGAAGGTAAGTGCCCATGGGTTCGCTACGAGCCATAAATTGTATTCTGCATATTCTCGGGTCATGCATCTGTCTTGTGGCCCCCCGTGTCCTGCCTCTATTGCAAATTATACAGTCACAGCGTAGTCGAAGGCCAACGCCCGGATATACGCTAGCCCAAGATTGCCCTTATGCCTTGTGATACCCGCCCTACGCCGCCCAAACATCCTGTCCCGACTTCTCGATCCAGTTGCCCAGCTGGTTAACACTGCTATCCCACTCTGCCAGCCGCAGCCGCATGCTGTCGATCTGCTTGAAGTCCATGACCTTGGGCTGTACCCAGTTGATATTAGCTACCTCATCCACCTGGTCGACCGTTCCTCGAAGCAGCCCCAGGCTCAGCGCCTTCATGACAAGGTGCTCTATCTCGTGGGGCTTGACCTTGGTCTCCTGCTCGATCGTTGCGAAGCTCATGGCCCGGTCGTGGGGTGGTCGTCGGAAAACCGCCTCTGTGAGCGCGGCCAGGTATATCTTCTCCCGGAGCTTGTCCTTGTGTTGGGCGAGCAGCTTGTCGGCGCTGATGCTGCCGGACAGCTGGTCATACTTGACCAGGTCGCCAGCATTGAAGGTGAACAGGAGCTCCCGCAACCACCGGTCCTTGTCGTTGTTCAGCGCATCCAGGACCGGGTGCAGCAATAACTCTCCGAAGTTGTAGATGCTTGATGACACCAGCGCTGCCGTTGCCAGGTCGTAGGCCCTTTTGCGACACTCGGCGGCGCCCAGGCTGTTGATATCAATGCAGGCGAGGTAGAGCAACGCGTTGCGGTAGTAGGATGCGAAATCTTGCTTTAGGTAGTAGTAGTCGGCATTTACCTTGTAAAAGGCAGCATGTACCACCGTCTCGACAGAGTCGAACACATCCAGCTTCCCCTCCGCCTTGCTGAGGTCTTTCCGCGCATCGTCGAGCTTGCCGAGGCCGAGTTTCACCTGGGCCACTGCCACTGTTGCGTATACGTAGGCGTTCCTGGAATTAGGGTCCTCCTCATCGTCGGCGTTCTTGCTCTTCTTCTTTTCCTCTTCGGGGTCCACCTTCTCTGCGACCGCCTCGGTGAAGCTGAGCCGTTCTTGGAGGTCTGAGCTCAATGTTAGCCGTACAGTCACTTGGTGATCATGCACCTATCCCTCCGATGAACGAACCTGTGGATTGTTGTGCGGCCTTGAGTGCCAAGTCGACGAGCTTGAGCTGGTTGATCTTGTCGGCGAACTGAAGGATGAAGTTGTTGTAAACGGGGAGGCGGAAGGGGGCGCTTTCGGGGTGGTTGAAAATGGTGATCAGGGTCTCGGTCAGCTCATGCCACAGCTTTTGCTCCCACATATCTTGGAGTCGCAAGACGTCAGGCTGGAGGTCGGGCGAGATCTGCAGCAGGATTTCCTGCAGGAAAGCCTGGGTGGTCTCGTCCTTGCTCATGGTTGTAGTTTGCGGCGAGCTGAGGATCGCAAAGCTTATGTCTTAGTGTTCTCCAGTGGTCGCGGTAGTGGCTGGATAGTTGCTCAAAGTGTGCTATTGGAGGTGCTGTTGTGTGCGAATGATGCTTAGAAACGGAGGTTGTGAATCCGTGTTCCGATTTGTCTTGTCGCTGTTGTCTGTGTTTGATGCTGGTCGGGGGGGGGCGGCAGGTGGTCGACGCGGCTGGGATGCAGCCTGGCTGGCGTTTGGAGCTCTGGGTTTCTCCCTCCCCGCCCGGTGCAAATAGCAATGACGCCTAAACTGCTGCCAGATCGACAGCACCTGCCACGCCTGCCAACCTACCTAGGTACCTAGGTACTTGAGAGATCAAAGTTTAGGTAAGCTCTCTCTGCCTTATCTGGCCCGAGCGTCATCTTCTTCCACTTTACACACCCCTGGCAGTGCTTGGGAATTGGCAGCGTCTGTGTGGTTGGTCCTTTCGCGTTCCGCTTCCAGGTGAAGCTCATCCACTCCCCGTCGACAACCGACAACCATTGAAACGCAACGACGGCCTTCTTGCGAAATCGAATCTGGCAAGAATGGCTCCCCTACCCACCGCAACGCGGTCTATTCCCAAGATCGCTCGGAAAGCTGTTCAGCAGCGCGCCCTATCCGACGTCGCAATCACCCGCACCGGGAAGCCGCTCCACCGTGTTCTGGGTGGAAGGTCAGTAATATCCGTCCAAAGGTGATGTGGCTGACTGACTGATGAGATACTGGATAGGTCATCACTTGGCGGTATGGCTCCATCGACGGCTTAACCTCCCCATCGAGTCCAGGGGTCTGATTACGAATTACAGGGCATACGGCGACGGTCTTCGGCGCAACGGGACAACTTGGAAGATACATTGTCAACCGACTGGGTATGCCTATATTGCACGACTGCATAGGTGGTAGTTCTGCTAACCGGGATTCCGTGCAGCCCGGCAAGGATGTCAAGTTGTGATCCCTTACAGAGAGGAGATGGCCAAGCGCCACCTCAAAGTGACCGGTGACCTGGGAAGGGTCGCCTTCATCGTGCGTGCTGTTCTCTTTGTTGGTATCCTTTGGATGACTGCTTATAAGAAGTCAGGAATACGACCTCCGAAATACCGAGTCGATCGAAGAGGCTGTCAGACACTCAGATGTCGTTTACAACTTAGTGGGCAGGACGTACCCAACCAAGTACGATCAATCATCGCAACGAGATATGCTGGGCAATACGCTAATGATCCGTGTAGGAACTTCTCACTGGAAGATGTCCATGTCGAAGGTACAGCTCGGATCGCTGAGGCAGTGGCCAAGTACGATGTGGACCGCTTCATCCACGTTTCCTCTCACAGCGCCGACTCTAGCTCTCCGGCAACCTTCTTCGCAACCAAGGGCAAGGGTGAACAGGTCGCCCGGGATATTTTCCCTGAGACGACCATCGTGCGACCTGCGCCACTTTTTGGCTTTGAGGACCAATTGCTGCTTAAGCTGGCTGGTGTCACTAACCTGTTCACTTCTAATCAGATGCAGGAGAGGTACTGGCCCGTTCATGTGAGTCTGACGGTATGTCGATTTCTCAAGGTCAACTGGCTGATCGTTCTCTAGTCTATCGATGTCGGACATGCTCTTGAGCTGATGCTCTACGATGATACCACTGCCGGGCAGACGTTTGAACTTTATGGACCAAAAAACTACTCTACCGCCGAGATCTGCGAGCTAGTTGACAGGGAAATCTTCTCCAAGAGGCGGCACATAAATGTGCCTCGATCTATACTCGAGCCCGTCGCCAAGATTGTGAACCAGGTGCTCTGGTGGCCTTGGATCTCGGCCGAGCAGGTGCAGATTGAACACGTAGACCAGGTCATTGACGAGAAGGCCAAGACCTTCAAGGACCTCGGCATTGAGCCAGGTGACATCAGCAAGTTTACCTACCACTATGTGCAAGGCTTCCGGAGCGGCGCTTTCTACGACCTTCCACCGGCAAGTGAGAAGGAGAAGAGAGAGGAGAAGAAGTATCTGCATGTTCTGGATGATCAATAAGGCAGAGGGTATTGGTGGTGTGGCTAGTGGACCAGCCATCTGGGCAGCTTAACGTTATAGAAAAGTGTAACTAGACTTTCATCGTTATACCTTAGCCCTTTTCGCGTTTTGACATTAGAAAATGTTTACAAAAGAACGTGCCATCCCCCAAGAAGAATAAAGAAAGAAAGAAGAAGATAAGATGGTCATGCAGGAAACCAAGCGTAGTGATTTTGTCGATGTTCTCTTCCAGTCCTGGTAGTCCGGCTCCTTCTTGAGCCCGCCAATGTATGGTGTCCCAAGCTCGAATTTTCTGCCGCCCGATGACAACCACAACCGCAACACCCATGACAGTGTTCCGGCACGTATACACCCTGGTTGACAAAGGAAAACCCCGGCTACATTGACCACACTGAAAACGCCCCAAGACGTGATATTTGCTTCAAGATGGCAGATAGCGACGATGAGCCTATGTGAGACCTGCTGAGGTAGAGACGGACGACGAC